GCTAATTCCCATCTGGTCTGACGGGGTCAGACCAGATCAATGAATCCATTGCTATTGAGAAAATCCGAAACCAGAATGGGAGAGGAATGAATATCGTTCCAGTCCAGCCCTAAACAGATCAAGATGTGCTCAGGTGATGCCTGGTTTTGTTGGCATTTAGGACATTAGGGACTTTTCATGTGGTTTATTCTATTGAGCATAGTGTTACGTATAGATATAGCAAAACAACGTAAGCACAAATAAAGTTACAGAAATGGGCATACTATAATTTCAGTTCTATTAAAAAGGAACTTCCTAAGTGTCTAAACACAAAATGACAGTAGAAAAAGTAACTAAACAAACATGTTGCTTAAGGAAAAAAGTGATTTAACCAACAGAAGAAGAGAAACAAGATGATAAGAAAAAGGATGATACCAAACAGGTATATGGGAGTTGGGCGAGAACCTCAGGGCTGCAAGATGAAGTAATTAAATTAGAATAAATTTCAAAGCACAGGAGAAGACTGGGATACTAGAAAGATCATTAACTAAATCATAATTTTTCAAAATATGGTATGATACTCAGAAGTCAAGGTTGCAAGAGAAAGAGCAAAAGAAAACTCAAATGTATGATTAGAATTCTCTCTTATGTAAGGCGATGGGAAATTGTTTAATATCCTGTTTTTGGACATATCTTTCAAGTTCTTTAAGTCGAAGTTTATGGGTACGTTCAATTTGTCCTTTATATGCAAGATCGAACTGACAACAAATTTGATAGATTCCCCTTGTGATATAAGCAGTGAAGATATTAACATAAGCAATAGAGTCTTTTGAGTTGGTAAAATTTAGTTTTGTTTACAGGAGGGAAGACGACTTTAAGCTCAAATTTTTTTCAAAATATTAGTTCGATAATAAAGTAAAACTTTCATATTTTTAAAGTTGCAATAAGAGAATTTGTCGGATTGCATGATTAGTTTTACATAAATTGAATCAATAATTTTGGAAAATCTCATGTCAAAAACGATAGTTTTAAAGTAAAGAAACTCTTCATTAAAAAGATTACTGTTAAACCAAATTTAAGAAAAACGGCAAACAAGCTTGCGTAAGATAACTATTTTGTTGTTCTAAAAATATGTTTTATGAAGATTAACGTTTTTAAAATACCGATTTTTGATTGTAAAACACTTGCTTAATATTTTCATTAGGAGATATGGTTTATTTTAAAGATATATTGGCTTTACGTGGTAGTTTCCTGCCGGAAGCAAAGCACCGGCAGGAAACTACTACGTCAGGAACTCTACTTTATAACTAGAGTTCCTGACGCAAATGTTCGTTCATCAAAACTATTTTCAGGACTTGGCTAGTTATCGGAAGGGAATTGAGAGTTACACTCGCTCTCCCCACCACGTCCAAAGAGCGTTCTCTAAAGTTAAGGTCTGGATATCTGGTTGGCTAGTCCATAAGGAGATATAACCGAACTTTTTAGAATATCGTCGACTAATCGATTATGCAGGGATGTATTGTCATCTATTTAAATGGCATCACTAAAAGGGAGAACATTGGGATCCAAGCCCTCAACCTTGTTTCTCACACCAGTCACAGTGACTTATGTAATGGTAAGGGATATAGGCTGAGGTATAGGAGCCTCTCCTTTTCATAGGTACAGTTTGCCCTGATTCTATTTCACTGAATAACAACTCGCGTCCACGTAGAGCACGTCTGGTCGACGTTTTCCTGGAAAATTACGTTATTTGTCTTATGGATTGGCCAACCAGCTATCCAGACCTTAACTTTAAAGAATGTGCTTGTGATGCTCAGTGAATCCATCAGCAACCATCAAGTGTCTGAAAACAGCCTTCAGCTGAAATTGGAACTCAGACAGTCTTGTTTTCGGTATGAAACTACGATGTAAGTGAGATACCTATTAACCTTTTTTTTTCTACAGCAACCAACTGTTTCATTCCTTCCAACTCAGAAGGGTATTACGTTTAATCATGCGCGTATATTTTAATCGTTGAATGATTATTTTATTTCTATTAGATCGACCTATGATGATATCAATTTTAATTCCAGGTTCTAGAAGTAATTGACCCAATCGAAACATTTTCTTACTTTTGAATTCAAAGTATATTTTGCTTATTTTCTCTTCGCCATTTATTTCCCTGATTGCAAAGCGAATTATCTTTGAGAAAATAACCTCCACTTCAATATAACGTTCTAAGCTGCTTGTTAATACCATATAAAATACAGCATTAATATACTAAATTTAATGGTAAATTTAATGTTAAATATCATTAAATATAAATTATATAATGTTTAATTTAATGATATTTAATGTTAAATATTCTCGGTAAAATACTAAATTTATTGTTAGATTTTTTTGAAAGTTTTAAGCATTTTAAATGGATTATTAAACGAATCGAAATTTTTTTCTGATAAATTTTTGTAGATTTGAAGCAATTTGAAGCAAGTAATTTAATAATTTAAAACTTCTTCTAACTGAACTCTCAATTATGTAAAAACATTTAATCAATTTTCTCATCATAAAAAGTATATTTCTTAAAGTCGTTCCAAGAAAAACAAATATATAGTAGCTTTACTTTCATTCTGTGTTAATCAAGAAAATAATTAAATCTTTAGAAACGGTCGAAGAAAGAAAAACTAAACAATGCAGAAAGAAAGAAAAAATTCTTTGAACTGTGAAAAAAGTTTTCGCTTATCTATATCGTCAGGAACTCTATAATCCAATTAGCATTTAATTAATATTACGGGAGTGCTTGCTTAATGTGTAAGACCTCTTCATTTTTAAAAAATGACTTTAAGTAAAAACTATTAGAATAAATGCAGTTTTAATTAAATCTCTGATTTTAAAAGATGTTTCCCAAGACAATTATATAAAATTAAGATACTACTTGATTTCCACGGCGACCGCTATTAAAATGATGCCAAGAATAACGACAAGCTACAATTTTATTTTATTTCATAACTATCGGTTGAGCAGCGGACCCATCAATGTCGGGCTTCGACTATAAACGTTCAATTCCGTAGCCTTGTACTTTTGAACCCAATCCAGAAGACAAGGGAATTTCTGGATCAGGTATTGGGAGAAATTTGCCCTTGTTGAAGACTTTTTGATGTAACTAACCTGAATTTGCATTACATGCAGAGGAAAACCACGAAAACCTTCCAAGGTTTGTCTGACGTCAAGGGGACTCTAACCCATGATCCATCCACCGCAGAGGATATTTTGTGTCAGCATTGTGGTTGGTGCAAGCCGGGTGAGGAATTCATATGGACCAGCCATTGCAGGGACTCGAACCCGTTTCACCTCGTTGGGAGACGAACTCGCTATCTCCTGAGCCAAGCGCTATCTCTAATCTCAAGCTAAAGTTTTTCGCATTTAGTTTGTGCCTTCCATATCTCCACGATTGCTTTCAATACTAAATCAAAAGACTTGTCTTTCTTATGAATTCTCCAATTCCGCAAGATAAGACTCTAAAGGATGTCGAGCTCTGATTATTTGTCTTTTATTCTTAACTTAAGAAAGGCTCTTTATTTGTTGAAAAATTTTTACACTGCACCTCCTCAAATTTTCCCTTACGTGGAATTTCATTTCGTATCCATTTACGTACATTATATAGCGAGGTTGTGCCTCTTTTTTCAGGAAAAACGAAACAGCATCTTCTCCACTCCTCGGTAACTTTTAAATCGTCAAAAAAAATTTTTCAATGCTTAAATTGGAAAAAATTTAATTACTATATCACGCGGTTTGAATGCAAAGCCTAAATGGAACCGAAAGTAAAAACGTAATTCTTAGTTTGGCTACAATTTAGGTTTTCAATTTATCGCAGTCGTCGTGAAAATCAAGTAGTACCAAAATTAAAGTGTGCGATACACTCTCCTGTCTAATTTTAGTCTATATTTTCTTAAGCCTTTAAAGAAATGAGATAAGCATACTACTAATAAAATAGCACTTAAATAATAGCTTAAAAATTATTATTTAATTATAATTAGCCAGATGCTATAACCACCAAGCCCCGTCCAGAGTAAGTTAAGAGGCTCTATTTCACAGGGATTATTTTTCTAACTGAAGAGAACTGGCTGCACAAATTTACGGTCAACTCTCTTAATTTTACGGAAATTTCTTAGAGTATAATTTTTTTCCTTGAATTACATTTAAAAGAATGCATTAAAATACACACATTATTTTAAGTTGCAAGTTTTACTAGACTAAATTTTTGGTAATCTCTTGACGGATTTATATATATTTTTAGTACTATAATTTCTTTAATATAGATGGTACATTAATACATTTAATCTATACATTTACTTTTACACTCCATGCTACATTTTAATATATAACTTTTAATTTAGACATTACAAAAAAAAATGTGGTAATCACGTTTTGATTATTTATTTATTTATAAGAGAGTGAAACGGTAGTGAAAATAATGAGTAAAAATAAGGAGAAACTGCACTTGATTTATTACTGTAAAGATATCTTTAAAATGAATTATCACTGAAAATTATCTTTATTTTTAACACCCGTAAACCCGATAGTGAAGGTTATAAAAACGCATGATGTAAATAGCACTTTTTTTAAACATAAATTTGACGCAACTTGCTTTTTAGTTTTTTATTTATTTTATCCATTATCTACCTGATCTCTCACAGTTTTTCGGGTACTTTTTTAAAGGGGAATAAAACTAGTAACTAAATTATTTAGTTTTTTGTTTAAAATTTATTTTATAGAAACAAAGACAGCTGTGTTCAACAAACTATATCTTAGGTATGTATAAAAATCTCTTGTCATAGATTTAGTGTTTATACTCCTCCGAAACAGCTTGGCCGAATTTGACGAAATTTTATATGTATATTCAGTAGGTCTGAGAATAGGTTTATAACTAAGATTTTTTCATTTTTTGGACGTTGCAGCAAGTCATGTTAATCTATAATACTTATGCTCGCTCTTGAAAGAAGAGCTTCAAATATATTTGCAAGTATGTGAATAAAGGCAGTGATATGGCAGTATTTCGAGTTGAAAATACCAATGTGACTGCTCTTCCAGTGAATAACAACGATGAAGCTGTTTGGCGTATCTTTGGTTTCCCAATTCATGAACGGGATCCAACCGTTATTCATTTAGCCGTCCATCTTGAAAACGGTCAGAGCGTATATTTCACGAACGAGACAGCAATTGACCGAGCTATAAATCCACCAAAAACTACACTCAGCGAATTTTTTGAATTGCGTAATCGTGCGGATGCTTTTGGTGCCTTTGCGCGGACATTACTCTACTCGGAAGTACCACACTATTTCACATGGGCTCAAACAAAAAAATGGACACCCCGCAAGCAAGGTACACCAGTTGATGCATGTCTCGGTTTATTCAAATCAAACGCAACGAGGAGAGTATTTACAGTCAATCCAAGGCAGGCTGCGTGCTTTTATTTTCGACTGTTGTTGGCTAATGTCACAGGCTCATTGTCCTTTCAAGATATACGTAAAGCCGATTGACATCAGCATCCAACGTATAAAGATGCATGCCTTTCACTCGGCTTGCTGGAAGACGACAACCAGTGGGAATGTATGCTTGCTGAAGCAGCATTGAACTGTACTGCAAAGCAAATTCGTCTACTATTTGCTATAGTATTAACTACATGTTTCCCGGCCAGTATAGAAACGTTATGGGATAATCACAAATATTCGATGACTGACGATATATGGTATCAACATCGCACACGTTGCAACTATCTAACGATAGCATTCAGCGATGCTATGTACAATGAAGCACTGATTGCTATTGGGGATCTTTGCATTATTATTGCCAACTTGCCCCTCAGTCATTTCGGTATGCCTTCGCCAAATCGAAGTGCATCTGATTTATTAAACACTGACATGAATCGAGAACTTTAAGACAATGCGATATAAATTGCAGCGATTGTTACTCGCAATGTTCCACTAATGAATGAGGAACAAAGGAGCATTTATAACCGCATTATGCTCGCAGTTTCGGCAGGACAAGGTGGATTTTTTTTGGATACACTAGGTGGAACTGGCAAAACATTTATTATTTCTCTAATTCTCGGTGAAATACGATCAAATAATGGCATCGCGTTCGCCGTTGTATCATTTAGCATTGCGGCAGCTTTATTAGACGCAGGCCGAACAGCTCATTCAGTATTTAAGCTGTCACTAAATATTCAAAACAACCCAAATGCAGTGTAAAAAATAAAAACGCAATCGTCTATGGCCACAGTGTTGAAACACTGTAAAATTATCATCTGGGATGAATAAACTATGGCACATAAACATTCGCTTGAGGCGTTGAACAGAACATTGAAAGATATAAAAAACCGTGACAAAAAAATTGGCTGCACTCTGTTACTCCTTTCAGGTGATTTCAGACAAACACTTCATATCATTCCATGTTCAACGTACGCTGATGAGATCAATGCTTGCTTGAAATCATCTCCACTGTGGCGTAATGTTGAAAAAGTTCAACTAAAAGTAAATATGCGCGTCCAAATTCTTCAAGATCCATCTGCTGAAACATTCTCAAGACAATTGTTAGATATCGGTGATATTTAATGAGCAAATTTTTTTTAAAAAAGTGCTGACATCTGCTTTGAAAAAAAAAATCCTAAATTTGCTTATTTATGCGGGCTTCAATATCGGTCGAACTATTTGAACGTTTTTAAAATATTTTGAAATAAAACATCATAATTAAGGTAATTAAAAGGAAAATTATTATTCTCTAGGTAATCCTGAAAGTCCCTATGGCTGAAAGAAAATCTGCTTGATTATTACAAATAAATTTAAACTAATCACAATATTCTTAACAATCTTAAAGTAAAGGTTTGGATTAAAATGTGTTAAATTAAAAACATTAAAGTTAAAATCCCTTCTTTTATCGTATAATCCAATGAAATTTTTATTGTTGAGAATTTTAGTATCAAGATCTAAAAAATATGCACAATTAAATCAAAATCATTACAATCAAAAATAATTAAATCATCAATAAATCTAAATCCAATTAATGAATTGTGTTGCAAAAATGTAATGTTCATAATAATGTAAATTATGTTATGTTCATAATAATGTAAGAAAATATTAGAAAAAGCACTTGAATAGCAATTTTCCATTGAAAAGCCTTTAATTTGTCTGTAAAAGCAAATACCATTAAAAAATATGTTTCGAAAATGTTTACATTACATAAATTTATCCAATCCTTTTTATTAACGTCTTCATTAATCAAATAATTATCAAAAATTTCCAAACAAATATTCTTTAAATTATTGTGAGGTATACTCGTGATAAGATTTTCAAAATCACATGTAAGAATATTATTAATATTATCGTAATTTAAATATTTAATAACGTCTTGGTCCCCAGGCGGTCATTGGAAAAAAAATATTCTTGACTCATTAAATGCTTAAAAAAATTTTTGGAAATAAAGCAAAAATTATTGAAGGTTTTATCAGCAACACAAATAATAAAATTATATCTCAATTCCTTAATATATTTAATAATATCAGAATTCAAATAAAAACCCTGGTATTTTATATTATTGTTCAAAAAATTCAATTTGAAATTATACAATACACAAAATTTCCATTCACTAAATCCCTTTACTGGTCAATTAAATTTTCTTGAGCGTTTTGCAATAAAACAATCTAAATTATTACTGATTGAAGCAAGAAATTTCTTTCTTGGTCTAAACTTAGTCCCAAGTCCCATGAGAAATCTTAAACCGTTATTATTAATTAGGTTAAGGTCACCAGTGACAATGTGCTTAAAGTCATTATTAACAAAATCTTAAAAATGCTCTTGCTTACAAATATCCTCTAAATCTTTTAAATTTTTACTATAGAAATTATAATTGCAAATTCTTTTCTTTACAGTTTTGCAATATCTAAAAAAAACTGAAACCCCGATTTTCTCTTCATTTGGGAAATATTCAACCCCTTTCAAAATCTTTATCAAGAAAATTAATAACACAATATAATATTTTCTTACTGATGATTTTAGCAACAACAACATAACTATAACTATCTTTATTTGTAAGTGAGCGTTTCATTTTTAAGTCTTACTATGTGTACTTTTAAGTTGTGTTTGCTGGTTCAGTATTTTTCTGTGCTTTTCAATTCTTATAATAATTTTCTCATATTTGTCTCTCCATTATGGGGCCTCGGGGCACTGTCAGTTTTGGTTTTTCCACTGGCAACAGAAAGGCTCCTGTGTGTTGGCAGGCAGTGTGTTCCCTGATGAAGTGCTGTCTTACCAATACACATATCTTTTATTTTTATTGCTTTTTATGGCATCTTCCTGCTTTAGCTGTTTTTTTAAATAACTAAATTAAAACAAAGCAAATTTGGTTTTAGCTGCTTTTGGCTCTTTCCCATTTTGTGTTAATGTTTTAATGTTAATTGTTAATTTTCCTTTTTGTCCTTTTCTGTATTTGTAAATTAGGTTCATTCTTTGATGAAATATTTACCCCGACCTGTCCCAATTTAGGGCATACGGGTAAATGTTTATTAAAATCAATAAAAACAGAAAAGTGCATAAAATACAAAAAGTGCAAAAATACGAAAACATTACAGAGTCTGATGACAACAGCAGTAAAACAATTAAAGTGCTCCGAGAGTCCCGCCTTATAGTGCCGAAGCCGACGGGACCTCCCGTAAAGATGTAAAGTGGTAAAACAAACAATTATCGAATACAATTAAAAGGCGACGCTAAAATTTGCAAAGCAAGGAAAGGCAATGTAAATAAGCCAATTAAAAAGCACAATGTAATGAATAAATAGATTAAAACAGAATTAAAAAGCGAATAAGATAGATAAAACAACAAAACATTGTCAAAATTACGGGAAGCGTACAGGCGGGCAGCCCAGCAACCGGGATTGAGTTTAGTTCGTGTAGAGCGGATCCAAAATGTCGTCAGGGGCGAGTGCGTCCTCCAGGGTGCGTTTAATGATGTCTTTAATAATTTGCCACTGTTTATTAGTCCTGCACCAAGATCTTATGTCGCCTCTTCTGTCAAAACTATTTCCCCTAATGGTTGCAAATTTTTGACAGTCAAGCATCAGATGTTTAATAGTCTGATAGTGACCGCAATATTTGCACGCGGAGGATTTTTGAAACATCCTAGCTTGGTGATCGCCAAATACACCATGGGAAGTTAAGAACTGATTAAAGTAAAAATCGCTGGATAAAAAACATTCGTTAACTGTAGGTATCAAATAGTGTGTGTGTCTCCCGTTTGCAGAGCTGCTCCACCTGTCCTGCCATAAAATCCTACTGACCTGCCTCTGTCTATGTTTGACCTGGGGTTTTGTTATGGTGTAGTGAAAGTCCACCCCGCCCAATAAGGTGCCCTTTTTGGCTAAAATATCTGCTTCCTCGTTGCCAGGCTCCCCCGAGTGGGCTTTAATCCAATTGAATAAGCATTGTTTGTTTTGAACAATTTCCTTAATTTCTTCTACAAGAGGGTCTGTTGGGGTTGGGTTTTCAAGGGCCTGCAACGAGGACTTTGAGTCAGAAAAGATGGTGTATTGTTCAATATTGTTATTGTTTGCCCAAAGGGTAGCCAATTTGATTGCCGTAAGTTCGGCGGAGTAGATACTACACTCATTATTTAAACGTGCGGTCTGTTCGTAAATAGTATGGTTATCCAGTTTCACCAAGAAACCACAACCCACCCGATCTTCATTAGCGCCTGTGCTTTCATTGGTCACCTGTTTCTTACTGCCATCAGTGTAGAACTCGTAGCCAACGCCCCTCGGTGAGCCGAAACCCCTACTAACGATCTTTAACTTCGTAGGGTCATACACAGGGACTGAGTAAGGGATATAATTTCTAAGTTCATCTGTTTGATAATCGCTGTCGTTAAATTCCTCTGGTGACCAGGTATGTCGTTTAATCGAAATAGTTGCTCTAATTTTTAAGTCAATAGGTATGACTCCTGCAAGTATTTGTAGTGCCTCCGTGCTAGTTGTAGAGTAGCATTTAGTGATGTTGAGCAATGGAATTCTTTGGATAGTTAGGAGCTTCTGGTTTATTTTAACTTTATTTTAATACCACACGGAGGCACCATAAATGATTCTCTTTTCAATAGCCTGCAGGTATATCAATTTTAAGATATTCGGACTAAGTACCCATGTGGCTCTACTGAACTGTTTTAGGTCATAGAACGTGATGATATCTGTTCTTGGATACTCCAGGTGTGGGATCGAGCTCAGCTGAGGATCGAGCACCACACCAAGGTATTTCAATGTCTTGTCGCATCTTACATAGGCCGTCCTGGTCCCCTCCATTTTTAAGCGAGGTGTTCTCTTAAAATATTTCGCGTCTTTGGGGAAGGTTATAAGTTTTGTCTTGTCGGGTGAGAATTTTAATTTGTGGCTCCCGGACCAATTAACCATATTTTGAATAATTTCGGTCCCCAGCTTATCGAGACGATAAAAATGGTGTGCTTCATTAAAAGGAAGACGTCATCAGCAAAGTTCAGTAGTT